GGCAGACAGGCAGACAGACAGACAGACAGACAGACAGACAGACAGACAGACAGACAGACAGACAGACAGACAGACATGAAAATTGGTAGAAGGCATTTTATTATTGTTATAATTCGAGTCCGTAAAAAAGATACTTGTATTATTACATATAATCAGTATGAACATAATAATTATTTCCTTGTTGTAGAGGAAATGTTTCTTTTACAGGGCATTATACGCTGAATAAAGACAAATCAAGACTTCTTGTCTCGTTTAACTGTACTTGATATTATTTATGTATAAGCGGGTTTGAATAGAATTACCTGATTTGAGTTGCAGGAGTGCCAATGATAAATTGGTACGTCTTTTTTAAACGGCCCCGTAAACTCTTTAAGGTTATTTAAAAGTCGGAACTTCCGAATTGTAGGTCCATCACCGATATGACAATTCGAGATGGATGGACGGAGAGCCTTCAAAACTCTCCAAACGGCTTCGCCGGGGTAGAGCGACCTTGATGTCTTGTACTGCTGCTGGCACGGTAGATCTAGGTTGTAATTAACATTTCATCTCGACTTTTGGTAAGTAGAGCTCCGTCGAATCACCTTGATGTTGGGTTGTTTTTAGGGTTTTTAAAGTTTAAAGTTTTGTTTGATTTTCCTCCTAATTCAAATATAAGGTTTATGCACACAACCAACGCTCTAAATATCCTTGAACACCTGGAGCAAAAAGTTTAAATGAAGACAACAGCAACAACTACAAAAGAAAATATCAAGAGACCTCGTCACTGTATCCTGGCAAAGGAGTAGGAAAGACAGAACCTGTACACTGTCTACAGCAATCAGAGCTGACGCAAGGGGAGAATTTGTTTTAAAATGCTACAGTTCCAAGCATACTATAGAGTTTCTTTCCAATCACCATTCTCAAATAATCCAGAAGTGAAAAAACAAACAAACAAAACAAAATAAAAAACACGACGAAAACATTGAATACGGTATAGATGCCATGATAGATACCATAAAGACGAGGTACTAGTTGAGTACAGCCGCTGTTTCCCGGTCCTCCGCCCCCTAACAACCCATTGTCAAGAACGCCCCCCCCCCTCCCTTCTAAGGATTTGAGTCGGGATCGTTGGCGCTTTACTCCAGGTTGACGAGGACTCTTCAAATCAGAGGTAATGTAAAGAAAGTAAAAAAAACAGAAAGAAAAAGGATCAAAAGAAAAATAAATAATTATTATTGACATTGCTCAAATGATACTTGTTTATCGTATCCTTCCATATTGTCAGTCTGCTACTAATACTTTTACCACGCGAGATCGACGTCTAAGGCGATATGGTTGGACCGTTGTGTTCAAAAGCTTGAGTTCGAGTCCCTTGTGGTTAGGTATAGCTCACTTTTGTATTGAACATCTCGGTCTTTATGTTGGAATGCTGTATCCTATCACCGCTTAGCCCAAGATGATCGTGCATGATATAAATTGTGTCGTTGCAGCCCCAAAATATTAATAGTATGTGAGACAGCGTGGTGAAATCAGGCGCTTGTCTAAACAATGTGATCTCCCTTATTTTACCTCTGAAACCAGGCAACCTCGTCTCCTTCATCAATCACAAATACTTCAAAATCTATTAAAGATTAATGGATAGTTTTTCCATCGAAATATAGACAAACAAACTAGCTTTAAGAATATACTATAACTCCAAATGCCCAAACATTGACGAGCGCCTGATTCCACCACGTCATGACACATACTCAGAACAACAACTATTTCTGTATTTGTTACTCTGGTCTTCGAACGAATGCTTAGCTTCCACCAATGTGTGGTGGGGGATTGGATCGAGGGTGCCACTGATGAGAGGTCCTACTTCCTTCCTTTCCCCCCATGTTGTTTCTGTTTTTCTATCTTACCTCTTCCCTGCTATGCACGACGTCATTGCTTCGGTGTGTTTCTCTTTGCTCAAACTCACAACGGTTGTGTTGGGAGGCTTTTCTCCCCTTATTGGGGGAAGTGTTTTACGGCGCTTGCAACTGCACAAGGCCACATGAGTGCGATGGACACATTAAACATTTTCAGTTGGTAGGACATTCTGTATTTTGGCCGGGGGCGGCCGAAGTCTACTCTTATCTATTTTAGACTACCAAGGGATATTTAACATGCGCGACTTGCGCAAGGGACCTCCGAGATTTTTCGCCCTTATCTGAGAAGGCTAGGTGTAGATCTTCCCTACTGAAAGACAGCATTAAAAAGGAGCCAAAGAGTAGAAATGGAAAGGCTGCAGAAAGAGTAAGGGACCCAGGGGAGGGAGCAAAGGAGGTGAGGGGTTGGGGGAAAGGAGGTGAGGGGGTGGGGGTGAAAGTGGAGACGAAAGCAGACGACAGAACATTGCAAGAGAGCAGGAATTGGAGGCGAAATCGGGACCTTTGAATGAGAGGCGAACAGCTTAACCTCTGGGCCACGACAGCCCCCTGGGAGGCTTTGCATCGAGCATCTCCGTCTGTCAGTTGGGACAATGTATCCCTCACATAACTAAGTTGGCCCCGACGAGCTGGGTCAAAGAAGCCCGCCTCCTAAATATTTGAATTCTGTCGATGGTGTAAAAGAACATTCTTACGTATTGCCAGAAAATTGTTGTCTTTTATTTGAGGGGATTTTGGGGGTTGTTTTTTGTGTTTTTTTTTAAGAATACAAAAACAACAAACGTCGTAAAGTGACTAATAAATATTAGCAAATTGTAAAGCTTAAAGGAACAATAATTTATTGCAAAACTCGAAAGTATGAATTTAAAAAATCAGACTTTCATGAACGCTGACATTCTTAAAGAAATACTGATGTGGTATGACTACTTAAAGTTACAACGTGGGTTTTTTTAACAACAGAGTCATGACTGTTCTAAAAGTATAACACAGAGCTACATGCTACACCCTCTATGAACCCCCCCCCCCCCAAAGACGACAAAAGCAAAAAAAAATCAAAAAACAAAACAAACAACTTTGCTTATTGCTGTGCTGGTGAGCACCGTGGGCGCGAAAATGAAGGGCAAAGCACCAGTCTCCCTATGGTCCAGCACGCGTGCAACTTTTCCCACCTTGCCCTTAATTTTATTTCCAAATAATATTATAATCAAATAGTGCGCTCCGTGGTAGTTCGGAATTACGTCAGAGTGCACAGTCTAGGATATTATATAATATAAATCTATGGATACGACTAGCGGGTCGACAGACAAGGATAATTTGTCCCAATGACGTCATTTTTGTCATCTCGCAAACCAGAATGTTGTATTCGCTTGCAGTAATATTCATAAATCCAAGAGAGAAACTGTTGCAAGTGGAGCCATTCACACAAATCATTTTACTTTAGTATATTATATTCGTTCCTTGTTGGTTCATCTCTCACTTTTTCCTTTTCCGCTGTTTTTGAAAGAACATAACAGTCTAGTAGTAGACCCAATTCAAGCTAGTTGATTTCAAAGGCGTCCGCGATAAAAAAAACAACAAAATAACAACCCAAAAAACATCTTCCAAACTGATCCGTTGTTGTAACTTCAACCCAAAACCCGATGGGTGGTAATCGATGATCTGCTGACGATGACTTTCATCATATTCCTTTCACGATCTTGAAATGCTCCACTGGCCAGCCGATCTCTCCGATGCGGCCGTTTTTGGCCAAGGGGAAGCTGGTGCCTGGCGGAGGACGGCTCAGGTAGGCCAGGTCGCTGGTGAACTCTGCTGACCTCTCGCCCACGCCAACCATCTGCTGGAAGGGTTGCTGGTTGGACCGGTAGTCGCGGAGGCCGCTGGGGCCTGGGGATATTTGGGGG